GGGCCTAGACCCTTCTTCAGAAAGGGTCTAGGCCCGAAACGTCAGCCTTCCTGCTCCTCTGATGCTGCTTGGCCTGCTGTGTTCATCCAGCTCTGCACCTTATTATAATCCTTGCCATGCAGGGTTCTCCAGTCTTGGCTCCACCCATTGCCTTGACAGGAAAGTATTTACCTTGTATTCTTGCTATCTTCTCCCTGAATGCCTCCCATTGTTCTGACAATTTTATCTACAAATAGCTGCTTCCAGGCCATTTGGGTCAAATTGGATCGCATGTTAGTAAAACTGGCTTTTGCCTAGTTTAGAACTTTTATTCCCCGCCCATCTTTATCCTTTTCCACAAGTACCTGAAATCTGAGTTATGATCATGATCTCCAAAATGCTCCCCCAGGTGATGTCTTCCACTTGCAAGAGCTAATCTCCAGAACTGCGCTCTTCTTCATGCGGCTATGTAATTGCTAAATTGGTTGTCCTGGATGCAATTTAAGAATGTTGTTCCCTTCCCTTCCTACTTGGCACACTAAAACTATCCCAGTTAACATTTGGGTAGTTAAAACCCCAGTTACTGTTTTGTTATTCCTAGACTTCTCCGAAATCTGGTTACATATTTGATTCTCTATCTCCTCCTAATGGTTTGGGGACAGAGACTAAACACCGAGTGTTTACCTTTTCTTAAACTTTAACTATTTGGCCTCATTTGATAATCGTTCTGAGATATCAACCCTCTTCATTGTTAATTGATTCCTTGATTAACATCTGTCTTATTCCTCAGGCTCCTTGCATTAAAATAGATTCCATTTTGTCTTGCTTGACTCACTTTTTTCTAATCCAGCCTATCTTTCCTGCCTTCGAAACTCACTCTTGTATTAACTTCTAATTCATTCTGTTTCTCTCTCCTCTGAAATACTGGCTACAATCCCAGGCCCCTGCCAATCTAGTTTAAATCCAACCCAACAGCATCAAAGGTGCCCAGAAGGATATCGGTCCCATTCCTACTCAGATGTAATCTGTCCAACTCAGTCAATTCCTATCTCCCTCAAAACTGTTCTAATGCCTCTGGAATCAGAAGTCCTCTATCTTGCTTCATCTCTCTAGCCACACATTCACATGCTCCAACGCCTCTTCTCATACAGCGTAAATCAGAAATGATTACCTTTGAAGTCACACTTTTCAATTTTCTATCCAATTCCCTAAAATCTGTTTGCAGGACCTCATTTCTCTTTCTTCCTACGTCACTGGTCCCAACAAGGTCCACAATCGCTAGTTGTTCACCGCAGCCATTCAACAGGATCCTTGATCCTGGCACCCAGTCGATAATACACCATCCTAGAGTCACGTATGTGGCCAGCTGCCTACTCCCCTTACCAATGAATCCCTTACCACAACTGCCCTTCCACATTTCTTTCTTTCGTACTGAGATAGACAGACTGCCCAGTGTTGGCACCTTCCTCTGTCTGACAATTACCCATTTCCTCCTCTGCCTGCACTTCATAAGCTGCAGGAGACCCTCAGACCTTTTGCACCATAAGACCATAGCAGAACATGTATATCTCAACTTTCCCATCTCATCTATCAATTCTTGTCTTGAATATACTCAGAGAACTCCTAAGATTCAGAACTCAAAAAAATTTCTCATCCTAGTCCAAACAGCCAATGACTAACCTTGTAACAATGACTCTCAATTATAGAGTCAGAGATATACAGCACGGAAGCAGACCCTTCAGTCCAACTCATCTATGCCGACCAGATATCCTATATGAACCTAGTCCCATTTGCCAGCATATGGCCCATATCCCTCAAAACCCTTCCTATTCATTTACACATCCAGATAACATTTAAATGTTCTAATCGTACCACCCTTCACCACTTCCTCTGGCAGCTCGTTCCATACACGTACCACCCTCTGCATGAAAGAGTTGCACTTTAGGTCCTTTTTATATCTTTCCCCTCTCACCTGAAACCTATGACCTCTACATTTTGGACTCCCCCAGCCTGGAGAAAAGACCTTGCCTATTTACCCTATCAATTCAGCCAGGAAGAAATATCTTCCCAGCCGAGCTCTCGAAGAATCTGTTACCAAGCCCTACAGGGTCCTAGCAGTTATTCAAATGCTAATCAGCTGTTGCATAGACTAAGATCAAGTTAGATTTGAAAGCTCCCTTTATAAATGTAGGCACAAAGACTGTTGGTGCAGAGGAGCTGCACTGCACTGCAACGAAGTGGGGAACAAAGAAAACAAAATTAGAATAGCTTAAGGTTCCTATATTAAAAAGGTTAGCGGTATGCTAATAAGTTTACTTTGGCTACTTCTAGCAAATGCATCTCTGCCCATCAGCAGAAGTAGCATTTCCATACTGTGGCCAAGCAGATTATTGAAATTTTGTAGAAATAAAGTACTTGGAAATCAGGCCAAATGGCTGTTATTGGGCTGTAACAATTCCATGATTCTTCACATGTTAGAAATACTCAATAAGTCCGGTAACTTCTGTGAAAAAACAAACTTAATACTTTAATCTGATGACCTTTCATGCAATGTTATCTGCTTTACTGTTTTTTTAATACTCATCAGATTAGACTTCAATTTATTTACTAGTGACAAAGTACAATCTCAAAAATTGCAGCATATTTAGGATGGTTTCAAACTGATTTGGAAAACAGTTAAGAGACAGAACTTGAAGACTAGCATAAAGCTGGCAATCTCACAGAGAAAGAATTCCAATACTATAGGACTTGATCACTGACAAGAGATCCCAAAAAAGCTTCACAAGCAAGAGAGTTTACAAAACTAATGAAAGGTCATCAACAATATATATTAATGACCTGAATAATATAGGAAGTGAATGTGCTATTGCCAGTTTTGCAGGTGACAAAAATAGGTAGGAAAACAACTGATTGAGGATAACAGGGAATCCGCAGAGGGATACAGACAGGTTAAGTCAGTGAGCAAAATCTTAGCAGACAGAATCTAGTGCAGAGAAATGAGAAATAATGCACTTTGGCAAGAATAGAGGAGTAACTGTTATTTAAGTGCAGAAAGTCTGCAGAAAACTACAGCATCAAGGGATTTGGGAGCCCTCAGGCTTGAGTCAAAAAAACTAGCCTAAGTACAACACGTAATAGGGAAGGCAAATGGACTGTTGGCTTTATTTAAAAAGGAATGGAATATAATAGGGAAGTCTTGAGGAAACTATACAAGGCACTACGTACTCCTAGAATATTGTGAACAGTTTTGGTCCCCTCATCTAAAGGGGAGCTATATCGGCACTGGAGGCAGTCCAGAGAAAGTCCACTAGGTTAATTCTGGTTATGCAGGAATTGTTTCATGAGGATAAGTTGAGTAGGTTGGGCTTGTATTCATTGGAGTTTAGGAAAAGGAGAAAAGAGACAACACTGAAACAAAAGATTTTAGGGGCCTTGACAGAGTGGATGTGGAGAAGTTGTGGGGGATTCTAATGTTGGAGGGCATAATCTTAGGGGAAGGGTTCACCATTTAAGAATCTGTGAAATTCTTTATTACAGAGGTCTGTGTCATTAAATAAATTCGAAGTGAAAACTTCTGTGCTTAAGTCGTATGGTCATATGGATCCAAAGTGTTAATACTCTCTCCACGGATGTTGCCTGACCTGCTGAGCACCTATTTCCAACATCACGTTTTAATTTGGATTTACAGCTCAAGCCTTAAAACCACACTTGAAGCATCATTATTCTTGCAGGTAAAAAATGAACAACTTTCAAAAATAGCTCCACGAATGAGAAGAAGAATCAGAATCTTCTTCTGGCATCAGTTCACAGAAGACTACAACACAAAGTGAGCTGCTATTCTCCTTTGAATCGTAACAAGTCCTTTTGCATCTCTCCAAGATAGCTTAGCATATCATCCAAAAAGCATCTTTGAACAACATCTTCCTCATCCTTCTAATATCAACTTGTACTTGTTGGGCCAAATAATCTGCTTCTGTGCTCTAAATAAACAATGTAACATGAATTAAAACCAAAACTGTGGATGCTGGAAATGTGAAACAAAAACAAATTGCTGGAAAAACTCAGCAGGACTGGCAGCAGAGAGCAGAGTCAATGTGATCCAGTGACCCTTCTTCAGAACATCAATTCTGTTTTTGTAACATGAATTGTTCTCTAATAGAGTTAATTTAGACAAACCAAATCTGTTATTGTTTAGTTGTGAACTTACATTGATTTGATTCTACAGTCCAAGTCACGCTAATCTCACAATATTTACATTTAGCACCCAAAAGATAGAACTCAGCTTGCGTTGATTTCTGCTAGCTAATTTAGTTCCCAGGAAGCCATGGTTTATTTACCGGAGTAAATATTGGTGCTGATAAAATACATTGAAACCTAAAATAAAAAGTCAATCCATACCTGCAATTCCTTTTTATTAGATAGACTCCTGGCAATAGCTTTAGCAGCTTCTACACCGATTGTGTTTCCTTCGAGGCGTAATGCCTGCAGGTGTTCAAATCTTTCAATCTCTTCAATAATCTCAGCAGCTGGGCAAAGGAGAATAAATGACTTTGAAAAACAGATACCACCCAGTTAACAGCAAATGTCACCAATATATTTTTCCTCTCTACTCTACACTAAACAATATTGGATCATCTGTAGACTTATGATCCTATTACACTCATCATAAATGCTAAAGCTTCCATATTTTAAAACGTCCCTCTTAACTTCAGATCAAGCAGAACAATTCTGTATTAAAAGTTTCAACTTGGTATAACAGGAAAATATGTACCTGGAGAACTAGGAGTAACTATGGGACAACTCGTGTGCTGTATATCTGCCAGAACGGTTCTGTATGACATATTTTGTACAACATACCCAAACACTCTTCAATTATTTTTGTTAGTCAAGAATCTACCCATCTCTGCCTTAAAATTATTCAAAGTAACTGTGCCAAAAATAATCCTACAAACACATAGCCCTCACAGAAAATGTTCTCTCTTATCTCTGCCTTAAAGGGAGACCCTTTGTTTTTAAATTACATCCCTACATCTCTCCATAAGGGAGAATATCCTTTCAGCATCCACACTTGTCAAGAGCCATCAAAATTGCATATGGTTCAACAAAAGCACTGTAATTCTTGTAAAATCCAATAGATACAGGGCCAAACTGTCCAACCTTTCTTTATAAACTAACCCTTCCATCCCAGGGATCATTCAAGTGAACCTATTCTACTTCTGATGCCATTATGCCCTTTGTTAATTAAGGAGACTTAACTGCACATAGTACTCCAGATATGGTCACACCCAATATCCTGTACAACTGCAGCAAAACATCTATATTCCATTCACCTTCTTTTTCATTTGCTGTATCCACAAACAGACTGTGATTCACATACTAGGACACCCCAATTCCACGATACTAGTGTTCAGCAATCTCTAATTAAATATTAGACTTTTTTCTAATCTTCCTGACATAGTGGACAAATTCACAACCTTCCCTCGTTAATCTGGAACAAATTAAAATACTTGCATCACGAAGAGTCATCTGATTTCATAATCAAGCCAAAAAGTTAAACATCTTCATAATAATCTACCCAATCTTAACAATCTGCATTCACTGCCTTGTGCTGTGTTTTACCCATCACCCTTGCATTATGAACTTTTAAGTCAACATCTCTGATAACATTGCATCATGTAAACTTGTCAGATGGCAAGTACACCAAGTGTCAGTGCTTCAAATGTCTGTTGTGCATCTTTCAGCTCAAAAAGGTCCACAACACAAAGAAATTATGCTTGAACCAAACTTTTTTGCTCAATATCCTGAAAAGAAATTTAACACGTAACAACTGCTGACTGACATGAAATTAGCATAACATTTCGTTCCTTGGGCCTGTTCCTCTTTACAACAAAATAATGGCTGACCAATAACCAAAATTCCTTAATGTATTTCCCTATGTTAATACCTTGTGAAAAAAATCCATTGACTTGGTTTACAATTAACATTTGATCTAGTATCAATGCCATTTTTTGACAGTTCTAAACTTCAAAAAAACAAATCAACCCCCGTACACAAGTCCTTCACAATTTCACTCAGAAATACTCGGGTCTAATTTTTCAACTAGGCCTCAAACCGAAGAATCCACTAATTAGAAATAGTAAGGTTTTTTCCTATTTTCCTTCTGTGCTTTCTAAGTTCAAGGTAAGATACCCTTAGATTTCGTTTTTTTCAGTAACTTAATCCTTCAGTCTCTGCTAAATCTAGACTACATTTCCTACAAGGCCAAAAGATCTTTCCTAAGCTTTGGTGTCCAGGTTCCCTGGTCAAAGTTCCCGAGGTGCGGTCTAACTGCAGCTTTGTGCGGCTGCCACATGACTTCTTTCTATCTGTCCTTATTTTGAAATCAACCTGTTCAGACATGCAATGATACAAAAACAAAAGGATGGACTTGAATCCAGGCCTTCTGGCTCAGGGGTAGGGACAACATCACAGAAGCACTCCCCAACACACACACATACCCCTCCAGCCATCCATTTGTACACTATTCTTCTAGATATAAAGGCCAGTTGGCCTCTTATTTTCTGTACCTGTTGATATTATAAATATTCATGATTCTAGACCTCCAATGATTACTGATTTTGTTACAAACTTCCAGCAATTTCCTTCTTTCTTTCTTTTACCCAATATCCCAAGACATCTGATATCCAGTCCAGTCCAATCCACATCAGATTTGTATTCACATACCAGCTTCAGCTGTGTCAAGTTTTAGGGCACGGCCTTTGAAACTCAGCTCTCCCCCACCCACTTGAGTCTTTGCAAGGGCATCCACCAGCTGAGAGATATCCTCAGAAGCCATCTCCTACCACCTGGTGAAAAACAGAAGACATTTTAAACATTACATCACAAGTTTCAAAGCAATTAAGTAAACACATGATAAAAACATACCAGTTGAACTAGTTTAAGTCGAGGAGCGTATGATCTGCAGGAAGTATTTTTCCAGTTACGCTACATAAAAATCTGTTGCGTTGGTGATAATCCCCGATGTAATTTACATTAGAAAAAAAGTGTCCTTATCCATTAACCCATACATTATAACTCCTTGGAGATTTATCACATCTGTGATAATCTTTTCATCAGTGATGCCATTTTTACCTCAGCAACTGTCCAGTCTCCCAAGGAGAGATTTTTTCTGCTCTGCCATACCCAAGATTGAAGCACTCCATAATTGCAAACTGCCTCACTTAGAAAGGAATATCCACTTTGATGAATAGCTCAGTTCAACGCTTTCATAAGGCCTGTACTTTTAATTTATTTGAAGAAAAACAATCTAAAGTGTTAAGCCTCTGATACAACTTCAAACATATTTTAATGCTGCTGACCAATAGGAAGTGCTTGTTTTCCCAACAGTCTAAGCGCTACTTTCCAAAAGCGGAGTGAAGAGCTTCCAGCAAGTGTTCCACCCAGGAATGGTGGATTAAAACGACAAAGATGCTAACTCAAACCTACAACTATCAGGTCATGAGGCATGTCCTCAGCTGCACACCTTCCACGGTTAAGGGGATTTATTGGTTTTAATTCCTCTACCTACACTGAAAACATCTCCAAATTGCCAGAGATCTACTCCTGGCCACTGACCCTTCCTCTACGTGCATGCTGATGGTGTTCAACTTTACCTCTCTAGCACCTTCTCAATCTCTCCACTATCAGGCTACTTCTTCGACATTTAGTATTGACTAAGTGCAATTTCGTCCAGTTAAAAATTGGGAGGACTGAAGTTATTGGCATTGGCTCCCAACACAAACTGAGGAGGTTGCTGAGAAGAGAAACAAAGTGAACCAGATTGCTCACAACTGCTTCAACCTGGGGCTACATTTCCAACTGCATATACTTTCCACCACAAAACTCTACTTCCTGTGGCACAATAATACAGGGTGTTAAAAAAAAAGGGATTTTTCTATTAAACCATCTCCAGGTTCCATAGCTATTGTCTGGCCACCCATTGTTCACATTATTCATCTCATTGGAAAACAGCTGCTCATAATATATCTCACATTAAATTTCACCTCACCCATCACTCCTGTACTTGCTGACCAACGTTTATTTATAGTTCCTCAACATCTTCAAATGGAACACTCATCCAGTGTTTAAGTCCCTCAATAAACTAACCACAGTCTCTAATCTCTTCCATCGTTTAACACATTCTGAAGCCCACACCACTGATTACAGCCTTGTGAACTCTCACCTCCCACTGCCATCCATTAATAGTTGTGCCTTTCACTACCTAAACTTTATGTTCTAAAATTTCCTTCACTTCCCCTGCCTACTTAAATGCTCTCCATAAAGGACACACTTTGACTAGAGTAAGCCTCGTTATCACTTGTTTTTTGATTATGCCTCGATTAAATGCTTGAGATCATGTTTAAGTATTAAAAGGTGCTGTAGAATTATATGTACAGTACTTATTTGAAGAACACAAGTTAGTTCAATTATGGTTCACTGAAACACTTCAGTTCCAGAATTATGATAGAAAACCCATGAGTAACAAATGTTCTCCTTCTGTTCTCCTGTCTGCCTGTACACCAAACTGACCTTCCTTACAAAATTTAATACAGCATTTTAGACATTTGTGTGTTAATTATGGAAATCAGCACATGCTTTACCTTCCAACAGTGCTTGCCTTGCTTCCTCTTCCACTAGTTTCATTCTATAACTGGCAAAAAATTAGGTTCAACAGAGTAAAGCAGTTCTTAATTTTCAACACAAACAAAATTTGCTAAATAATCATTTTAGGAATATGGTTGCAGAGGTTCTGGCAATCCTTCAATATCTCAACCAAGTAATGATCTTCCCTGGGACACACAATAAGCACTGTTTTCTTAATTAACCTTGTGGAATGCCATGTCTAATCCCAATTTTATACCGAACTGACATCCAAACAGACTGTTTCCTGCAGAAATTAACAGGCAGTAGTCACCAGTATGCATCTTTTTCTTTTCTTTAGTCAAACGGTTCAGAGAACGATTGCAACTCAACATCACCCCGCCCACCATTGGCCTCCAGTGAGACCACTGCACACAAACTAGGAGATAAAACTTGAATCTTCTTTATTTTTATGGACTACTACTATAACTCCATGTGATGCACTTTCCCATTAAGGTATCATGGGAATGATTTACAAAAGGATTCTGGTTGGTGTCAACTATTAGTTGCCTCTCTGGTAAAATAGTGAGAAATTTAAGGCAATGGTGGAGTTAGAGTGCAAGTTGGTTATTGAATCGGATACAGGCTCAAGGATGTAAATGCCCTGTCTGCCCCTCGAAAATAATTACAAGCCTCAAAATCACTGTTACGCAGTTAGATTTAGGAAAGGCATGATAGCGAGGGTGAGATCACTTCATAGAGTACACCAAGGATTCCACGATTGTTCACTGCACTATATTTTTATCTGCAAGATATCTATCATGTAGTGCAGGTACTTCAGAGATTAGAAACAAGTGTACAAGGTACCGATAAGCATTAATCACGACCATTTGTGGTTATCTTGTAACATTCCCATAAGTTGCCCTAGTTTGATTTTCTTAAGAACAGACTTGCATCTTAAGCATTTGAAATGTCATCACTGCCAATGCAATTAGATGTGCTTTATTTTTACAGACAAAATTCAGGTGCTTTGTTAAGTCTAGTGTCTATGGGGAAGAAATATTAGTCAGGCCAACAACAGAACTCCAATCCCTCTTCATGGTCAAGGGGTCTTCTACGTCCAGCAGACTAAACAGAGGTCCCTGGTTTAAAACCTCATCTCAACGGGAGCAAATAAAACAACTCAATCCACCATAGATAACAAGTTGTAGAGCTGGATGAACACAGCAGGCCAAGCAGCATCAGAGGAGCAGGACGGCTGACGTTTCGGGCCTAGACCCTTCTTCAGAAATGGGGGAGGGGAAGGGGGACCTGAAATAAATAGGGAGAAAGGGGGAGGCGGATAGAAGATGGATAGAGGAGAAGATAGGTGGAGAGATTGCAGTGGGAGAGAGATCGCAGTGGGAGAGAGATCCACTGGAGGTTTTTCCCGGAGGGAGGAGGGTAACTTCTTCAGGGTAGGCATCCTTAGAAGAGGCTTCGCAGTGGGGTTAAAATTGTTTCAGAGATAGTAGGAACTGCAGATGCTGGAGAATCTGAGATAACAAGGTGTAGAGCTAGATGAACACAGCAGGCCAAGCAGCATCACAGGAGCAGGAAGGCTGACATTTCGGGCCTAGATCCTTCTTCAGAAATGGGGGAGGGGAAGGGGGATCTGAAATAAATGGGTCTAGGCCCGAAACGTCAGCCTTCCTGCTGAGTACATCCAGCTCTACACCTCGTTATCTCAGATTCTCCAGCATCTGCAGTTCCTACTATCTCTGAACTCAATCCACCATCACTGGAGTGGAAGGAAGGTGATCAGATTCTGAGATTTGGAAAGAGAATTCCATGGCTAAAAAGCCAAACATTTAAATAGGTATAGGATTTTTTTTGGGGAGTGCTGAAGTTGAGAGAAGATTGAGTATAGGAAGTTGGCCAGAAGAACATTCAAATAATTGAGACCGATGTTGACAAAGACAAAGAAAAGAGTTTAAATATCATAAAAACACACAAATTTACAATAAAGTGGTTCACAATCCCAAAACGCAGAATAATAACTGCTGACAGAAACAAATGTAAGACGTAAACCAAATATTATTTTAACATTAGCATAATATTCAGACTACTTCTACTAGTGCTACAGTGTCAGATCTATAAACACCTATATTTTAACCTATTTTGGTAGTTTTGACTTAAAAATACCCTCAAAATGGAAAGTTGCAGCCATACAGGAGGCCATTTAGCTACTCATACCTGCTCCATCATTTAGCGAGATGATGATTGGTCTGCAATGCAATTCCGTACACCTTCCTTTGTCCAAGAAACCCTAAATACCTTTGCTAAACAAAGGCCTATCAATCTATGATTTTAACTTAATAGATTCATCATCAACTGCCACCTGCAGCAGAGATCTAAATTTTTTACCATCTTTTCCTTTTAAAATATTTCCTAATTTCACTCTTGTAGGGTCTGCTGTAAATTTGATTGTGCCTATTTTGAGACTCTCAAACCAGCAGAGTGAAACTATTTCCCCCAGTATCTTAAACTTCAAAACTTGAGGAAATACAGCCCTAGCTGGATCCCAAGTTCAGAGACCAAATTTATTAAAACACTTTGCACTCCCTCAAAGACCAATATAGACTTCCTACAGTGGTGTCCAAAGCTGAACACAGCATTCCAGGTGAACACCACTTTTATATACTGAAGCCACCATCAATGGTCGCTGCTATAAATTCCACGTCCTCGCCAACTCTCTCTTCTAAACAACCAAGGATATTGGCAATTTTGTTGTCCTACTTGAGCTCTCAATGAGATTTCAACCACATTTCTGAGCCGCTACTAAAACCATTCATTGACACCTCCACAAAATCTTTTAGCTCTGCCCCATCTCAACTCCTCTGAAGTTTTCATCCATGTGTTCATTTATTCCACATTTCAGGTCACCTTCTCACATTCTATTCTCCACAAACTTGAGGTTATCAAAGGTTCTGCAGTCTTCATTCGTTCTCACACCACATTTTGTTCACCTGCCATCTAAACTCACCATGGCTTTGTCCCCACCCAAAGCTCTAATCTTTAGCCTTATAACCCTCCACAGTGTGTGCTGTCTTCTAACGTTGGACTTAAGCATCCACATTTTAATTTTAATCCTTCTTCTTAGGTTCTTTGGATCAATGATGATTTGCTTTCACTTCAGTTTCAGTCCAATACTGGATCCACAAACCCTGCCACAGGTGGCGTTTGCTAAAGCAATGGGTGAACATTTGATTTTTTGCATAATCCCTCCACTGTTTGAGATTGGTTTCCATCTAGACCCATCAGAGATACTCAAATGGATGGCACCTGCATGGTTGCCCATTTTGGGTAGTTTTGGGCTATAGATCCTCATGAGTTGGTCAGGATATCACAATTTTCGGAAAGGCTGAGAGGAAGTCTTCAAAGCATTTCCCCTACTAAGTAGTAACTGGCTGTCGAGATGAAGCTCAGGGTACACAGCTTGTTCTCGAAGTCTCGTGTCAGGCACATAGATGGTGAGTTCCATTCCATGCAGCTGACTGACTGCAACCAGCGTCTCGATGCTGGAGTTGTTGGCTTGAGGACATTGATATTGGAGCAGCTATCCAGCCAGTGGATTTGCAGAATTTTGCAGAGACATCACTGGTAATATTTTTCAAGGAGTTTGTGGTCTACATCTTAGACACAAACATGAGAGCTGGTAACAACTGCCTGGTGAGCCATGAGCCTGGTATCGGGTTTGAGGTCTTCGTCATAAAACAGTCTGTTCCTCAGACAGTCACAGGCTACGCTAACATAGAATCCCTAGTGTACAGTCAGGTCATTCGGTCCAACAAGTCCATACTGACCTCTGAAGATCATCCCATCTAGACCATTCTCCCTCCCCTTTCCCTGCAATCTTGCATTTCCCATGGCTAACGCACCTAACCTACACATGCTGGACACTATGGGCAATTTAGCATAGCCAATGAACCTAACTTGCACATCTTTGGACTGTGGGAGGAAATCAAAGCATCCAGCATAAATCCACGCAGACACAGGGAGAACATGCAAACTCCACAGTCACCCAAGGGCGTGAGGCAGCAGTGCTAACCACTTCCTCACCATGCCGCCCGTTGGAGCTGATGTACTAATACAACTTTAATGACCTTACCTCCTTCTACCTAGACCTCGGCTCTATAAATTTCCCTCTTAACCACTTTGCCTTACTACCTTGCTCTACACCTTTAAAATAATCAAAAATTTACTTCATTGACCAAGCTTTTGGTCATCTGACCTACTATCTCACATGGCTCAGTGGTTATATAGGCTTTATAAAGCAAGATATAAAGTGCCTTGGAATGCCATATTATGATAAAGATACAACATAGACAAGTTCTGTTGTTGTTCTAAGCCCTTTGCCTCTAAAGAAGTCATTTTGGATTAATTGCTGTATTCATTTCCTTGGGAGGCAATGGCCTAGTGGTATTATTGCTGAACTTTTACTTGAGAGACAGATAATGTTCCGAGGACCAAGGTTCAAATCCCACCAGATACCCTGTGTGGGAAAAGTGGTGGAGTTGATTAGTTTGAGATTTTAAAAACACACCTGTTTCCTCAAGTCTCTTTACACTTTGATTGTTGTTTTTCACCCATTCTACCACTTTGGATCCACAGCGGAAGCCTCACATGCCTACACTGAGCTCAGTTTGTCATGTTTTTAGCCATTCAGTATTAACACATTTCACATTTCCAACTGCACTGCTTACAATGCTGCCTTATCTTTGTGAACCCATCAGTAATTCAAAATGAGTTTCCATGGAATGTTCAGTATGCTATCCTATTAATCTACTGTAAACACCAAATAATTAGATTCCACCCTGTCAAGCTGCCCCCAACCCCGCACCACAGAATATCCTAGCTTTCAACCAGCGCATCTCCCAATTCTTCTAAACTAACCTTGCGAACATTAGCTGGTGTGCTTACTGCAAATTGTAATAAGACAGAAATCCTCCATTGAAGTCACTTTGCGACGTGATTGCGTGGTGCAAAGGATAGCTTCCAGTATTCCAGGTTCAGACTGCACCAGCCACCAGGGAGCAAAGGAGTACAATAACATGGACTAACATCTTATTTAACCTGACTCAGGCTGAAGACTCATCCGGTGAGAAAAGGGTATGTACAGACATCACCACACTTTGACTCAGACCTTCACTACATGTGGCCCACACAAGAATCGGAAAATGGGGTGGGAAATATTTTTCCCCAAATATAAATTACAACCCGATTTATATTCTGATAAAATTATCAAAAAGAAACAAGCTTGCACTTGCACTCCCTCCACAACTAGGGATCAAAACGTTCCCTCATCGAATGAAATAATTAAACCAAATAAATTACTAAAGTTAAAAACCAAAAGAACTGCAGATACTGTAAATCAGAAACAAAAACAAAGTTGCTGGAAAAGCTCAGCAGGTCTGGCAGCATCTGTGGAGGAGAAAACAGAGTTCACGTTTCGGGTTTGGTGACCCTTCCTCAGAACTGATGGTGGCTGGGAAAACATCAGTTTATATGCAGAAAATAGGGAGGTGGGTGGGGTAGGGAGTAAACGATAGGATAGAGCCCAAAGAGAGAGAGAGACATTTGGACAGACAAAGGAGTTGCTAACGATCAGGCTGGGAGGGTGAATAGTTGTTAATGGGGACTGTTAGTGACTAACAACAGGGGTTGTGTAGTGGCAGGCTATGTGGTAACAAGGCCTGGTGAGTGGGATGGGGAGCTGGGACATGGGAGAGTTTAGGCCCTAAAATTATTGAACTCAATGTTGAGTCCAGAGGGCTGTAGGGTCCCCAAGCAGAAAATGCGGTGTTGTTCCTCCAGCTTGCGTTGGGCTTCACTGGAACCCTGTAGCAAGCCGGAGACAGAGATATTGGCCAGGGAGCAAGGTGGTGCATTGAAGTGGCAGGGAACAGGTCGTTCAGGGACAGGTAGTCCGCTTGGGGACCCTAAGGCCCTCCAGACTCAACATTGAGTTCAATAATTTTAGGGCCTAAACTCTCCCATGTCCCAGCCCCCCACCCCACACACCAGGCCTTGTTACCACGTAGCCTGCCACTACACACACACTGTTGTTAGTCACTAACAGTCCCCATTAACAACTACTCACCCTCCCAGCCTGATCGTTAGCAACTCCTTGGTCTGTCCAACTGTCTCTCTCTCTCTCTCTTTGGGCTCTATCCTATCGTTTACTCTCTACCCCATCCACCTCCCTATTTTCTGCATATAAACTGACGTTTTCCCAGCCACCATCAGTTCTGAGGAAGGATCACCGGACCCGAAACGTGAACTCCGTTTTCTCCTCCACAGATGCTACCAGACCTGCTGAGCTTTTCCAGCAACTTTGTTTTTGTTCCTAAATTACTAAAGTTAGTTCACAATTATCACTAATGAAACATGTTGCTGTGGTATTCGTCAGCTATGCGATTAACAGAAGCATTTGCTGTCAAACTACAACATTAACTAACTGGCAGGCATTAATTTGCCTAAATTTCCGTTCATTTGAAGAACATCAAAAATTAGACGTGAAACAAAATTTGAAATTACCAGAAAAAAAGGTCGAATTCGAGTCTACCGGCTCCGCACGCCTATTTTTTGGAGCTAATGGCGGTCAGATGTTTTTCAAACCGGCCTCTAGCAAGTTCCGCCGTTTTCCACTTGGGCACGTGCTGGCAGCCTAGCGTTATGGGAGTTGTGGTTCTCAATGTCGAGGAAGCACATTATCCCTGCTGGGTACCATGGCGAACTATGAACTACAATTCCCGACGGACTTTGCGCGAAAGTGCGCCCCCACCTTTTTAATTACGTACTAAAGAGAGAAACGGCCGTGAAGGCGAGAGGAGCCTTTTTGGTAGATTGCTCCACAGCAACTTCTACAGGCCCAGAGACATATAACAAGCAGCATGCTGTGGACGAGAGAACAAGGTGTAGAGCTGGATGAACACAGCAGGCCAAGCAGCATCAGAGGAGCCGGATGGCTGACGTTTCGGGCCTAGACCCTTCTTCAGGAAAAAAAGTGCTTTCGCACTTGGTGGTCAGATCCTCTGCCCATTGAACCTCAGCTAGTTAAATTATCGCAGTTGTTTTTGTTTGGTTGGCATCTTTTCGTCCCTGAGAGATACTGACAATGCAGCCTCAGAAACTTGATAAGGTCAAATGGCCGAGTGGTATTATTGCTGAACTGTTAATCCAGAGACCCAGCTAATGTTCTGGGAATTTGAATCCCACCACACCAGATGATGGAATTTGAAATTCAATAAATATCTGGAATTAAAAGTCTAATGATGACTGTGAATCCATTGCCAGTTGTCAGAAAAATCCACCTGGTTCACTAATGTCCCTTTACGAAAGGCAACCGGCATCCTTATCTAGACAACAAGGTGCAGAGCTGGATGAACACAGCAGGCCAAGCAGCATCATAGGAGCAGAAAGGCTGACGTTTCGGGCCTAGACCCAAA